AACAGATACTATACTTGATCTTAGCCAAAAGACCGAGAAAGGTGAAAGTGGAAGGGGGAAGGCGGGGAAAGGTGGGGGATTGAAGGCAGCAGAAGGCGGGGGAAGGTGGGGGATTGAAGGCGGGGGATGGTTGGTTGTGCAATTTGGGATTGATGTTCATTGAACTTTTCCCTGGATCACAACAAAATCAAGCTTATGGCATTTTACAAGTATGGAATTTTGGTTTGTTATTGCTCATTGAGATGTATGAATTGGGGGCATATATGCCCCCCCCCCCAATGCATGCATGCGCCTGGGGGGCCGCCATACATGGGGGGCCATGCATGTGTGCACCTTACATGAATGCCCCCCGCGTATACGGGGTCCCCCATATATGGGGGGCATTGGGGGCCCCCATGCATGCAACCCCCCCAAGAAAAATGCATGTGTGGAGGTCATGCAAGCATGAGGGACCCCTATGCGCGGGGGGCCCCGGCCCATATCTGCCTCACATAGGGGGCCGGCCCTTACCGAAATAAAGGATTTTTTTTTTTTTTTTTTTTTTTTTAACTTTGTTTACGGGAAACCTACTTAACGAGGTGATAAGAGCATCCCCGGTAAGTAGGTCCCGGCGTCGAAGGCCCCATCTATTGGTGGGGAGTTGCACCTGCTGGAAATCGGGTCCAGCGTCTCTGTACAATGATATGAATGTATCTGCTGGAAATCGGGTCCAGCGTCCCTGTGCAGAGATGTGTTGACGACTCCACCTACCTATGTATGCACGTTTAAACCTGGGTAGCACGCCATATGGGTACGTAAAAAAAAAAAAAAATTAAATTACAAAAAATACAAAAAATCTGAAAAAAACGTATGTTGTGCAGAATAATGATACAAACAACTTTTGCCTGGGAGTCATACCCGAATTCCCAACCAATCTTGATTTAAAAATAAAAAATCTTAAAGAAAACTTCAAAATAATAATAAATAAAAAGAAACTATTTAAAAATAGTTTTTTTAATTATTATGATTATCTTTTTTTGAGTTTTTAATTTCTTACTCGAGTTTGATTGGGAATTCGGGGATGACCGGGCAAAATTTGTTTGTATCATGTTTCTGCATAACATATATTTGTTACAGAAGTTTGTTTGTTTTTTTTTTCTGTTTTTTTCCTAGTTTTTTTTACTTTTTATTTCAATTTATTTGTTTTTTGTGTCTTTGTTTTTTCACTCCAGTTTGGTACAGAAATTTGCGACGAGTCTCGCTGTGTCGTCCCCCGTACGTCGTACGGAGGGTACCCGTACGGACCATACGGACAGATGGACGTACGGCCGTACGGGCGTACGGACGTCTCCCGTACGAGCGTGCTACGGCCCAAAGGGGGGGTGCTAAGGGGGAGTTAAGTGCATGGGGTGTTGGGGGGGGTTGCTGGGGGCACAGGAGTGTTGTTGAAAAAAAAATATTATTTTTTTTTTTGGTGAAAAATGAGAAAAAAAAAAAGGACCGCCCGCGTCCCCGCGGGGCTCAGCCTGGCAGGCAGTGG